TTAGCTTGCTTCCTCCATGTATACCATAACAAGACAATATATTTAAATTAGTTTGTGAATTAACCTACTCTTGGAGAGCTCACCACTTGTAATGGTATGTGGGAATGACCGTGAAAGACCAACTTAGCTGGCAGCAGGAATGTGGGCAAGGCAAGAGGCTCAGAAGGGACCCTCTCTAATTTCTTGGGCTGTAAATGGGATGGGAGAAAAATGCACTCTCAGACTTGCAAGATTCTGTTAATGTAGCCTTACAATAAAGTAGAATTAGCTCATCTAGTTGTGTTTCCTGTCTGGTCTATCTCGCAAAGTTGACATCACGAACTTTAACTAAGGGGCTAGGGTTGTATAACACGTTAACCCACAAAAAGCTTAAGCGAAGTTAGCACTGAACAAGCTTTGCATGTTTTGCCAATGCTTCTGCTAAGTCTTAACCTGACCTGTGAACACTCCTATAACAAGTGGGAAGATCAGTGACCGCTCATGTCTTGGAGGATTTTTTGGTGCAACTTTCACAGCACTGAAAAACCTGTAAATGTCTCCAGATATCTTGTAAACTGGCCTTAGTTACCATTAAACTCAATGGTTGCCCTAGGAAGCAGCCCATATTTCAACCAGTTCACTGGGAACAAGCTTTTCATTGACAGTTTTTATTTCTCACCTTTCTGCGCTAGAACAAGCTCAAGCCTCTTGTCCTCCCCTGAAAACAAGGGTGTAAACTCATGACAACTGCACAAAAATGGAAGCAACAGTTAACCAGCAAGAAGTACAGTCATGTGGTCCCCCTTGTTCGTAAGCCATAACACATTTGGTCAATTAGACAGAGGGCATTGGTTGTAAAGAAGGCAGTGAACTGAATTATTATTTTTTCACGTCATTACAAAAAAAGAACATAATGTAATATGTGGTTGTTAGCTATTTGGCTGCATGTTGCTGAAATGCTCCCCTTGTCATTGCATCTCTCTGGTGAAGATAAAATATGAGCCCTAGTACGAAAGGATACTATCATTTTGTATCATATTTTCTTAACGAAGGCACATCCATTACTATTATGATCTGATTGAACAGGATGAGTCTTCTTAATTAAGAGCCTAACAAAGCTATACTACTGTGTATACACAGATGTTTGTTCTGTTGTGTCTGAGGGCGTGACTTTCACACTGTTGTGCATGAAATCCAGCTTAGAATTATCAACTAATAGCAACTTTGAAAAATGCTGAACAATTATTCTCCTTTTGCTGTGCTATTTTAACCTTCAATGTGGTTGCTCTCTCTCTCCTTTTCTTTCAGTTCTTTTTTATGTTTCCTCCACTTTCTTTTTCAGGTAGCCCACTGAATTTGCTTTTCCTTTTCAGAACTTAAGAATTATTAAGACTGTTTTAATTCTTTAGATGAGGATAATCACCCACTGGGGAAGATGGGCGACATACAAATTTAATTAATTAATTAAAAAAAAAAACTAAACTATTCAGGAGGGTGAAAATTGAAAGGGACTGTGAAAAGCTTCAGAAGGATCTCTTTAAACTGGGTGCTCAGCCATTGGCAAATAAGTATATCACACTGCGATTGTAGTGAATAGCTCAGAAAAGATGTTGAGTTAAGTGTGTAGCAATTAGGAACTGGACTGAAAATAACATTACCAATATTGTTAATACCCTATGGAGAACTATGTAGAGTTCTGGTCACCACATTTGGTAAAGGGCAAAACAGAGCTAGAAAAAGTGCAGAAGAGAGTAACCAAAAGGATCAGGGGACTTGAACACCTGCTTTATGAGAAAAAGGTAGAACATTTGTAACTCTTGAGCTAACTGAGGGTTGGTATAATTTAGGTATATAAAATCACACATGGCATGGAGAAAGTGGACTGGGGAAGTTTTTCTCCCTTTCTCAAGAGCCTGGCAACTAGAATGGAATGAAGCGGGCTGGAAGGAGATTTAGGCCAGAAAAAATAAAGTACTTCAAACAGCTCATTGCTGATATGATGGCAACTACCTTGGATGGCTATAAAAGGGGGCTGAAGAACAAGTCTATCAAGAGCTCTTACAGTGGAAGACTAACATTGAGTCTTCACGTACAGTACCTCTCAAGTTAACATTAAGAGTTGAAGGCAGCGTGCCTTTGATACGTGTTGCAGGGGAACAACAGCACAAAAGGGGCCTGCTTCCACTTCTTGCTTATGAGCACTCAGGAGGCACCTGGATGGCCACTGGGAGAATCAAAATGCTGGACTAAGATGGACCTTGTCCTGATTCAGCAGTGCTGCTCTTATTAGATAATACCATGTAATATTGTCCAAGTTTAGAAAAACAGTGTTAGTAATAACAAGATTAATAACAGTAAGAAGGATACTGGATTGCAATAAAAAGCACAAATATTAAATCTGTTAGTGTCTATATGTCTCAGTTTGATGTAAATCCATTTGCTGTTTAATAACACTAAATGATATTCCAGCCAGGCAACATTCACTTGGTGGTTTCTGCAGTCCTGCTGTTATTACAGAAACCAAAGTATATATACACACCACTTGCTAACTGAAATGTGCCTCAAACTACTAGGTCTCCTTTCCTTTCTTTCTCCCATTACATCCTGTTACTCAACTTTAAGCAATTTTGGCAAGAGTGTATCCATTTTTACTTTCTGCACAGTGCAAAATTCATTCTCGGCACTTCGTAGGTGATATAGTTTCAGGTTTTTGGCCAGCATGAATGGTAAAGAGAAGCACAACAGATCTGCACTAGTGTATGTAGATTTGGAGGTCAGAAATTGGGTGTCACTTTAAATAGCAACAGTAACATGTGCTTTAATTTTTTTGAATGGTTTAAAATTGGGAAATTTTGTTCGACTGCTATGGTCTGTTACAGGCATCGCTTCATTGCCTAGAAGAGAAATGACCTTGGCACCAAAGACAAACTAAAACATATTTTAACAGTACCAAATATTACTAAAGATTCTGCATGTAGCTAAGCTGTAAAGAGCTTCCGTCATTTCATAAACTTATACATTATCTCTTTTCTAGAACTAGAAGCTGAATATAATTCCTTCAAGCATCAAACAGGAGCATGTCAATATCTCCTGTAGTAAAGTTGGATGCAAACAACAAATGCATACAAAGCAAACATGTACTAAGTTCTCATCAAGATCACAGCTAAAATAAATAAATATGTAAGTTTGTTTTTCAGAAATTTGCTTAACAGAATGGGGATGTATGTTTTAATCAGCAGAAAGAGACACACACGTAACTGTAGCTGGACAAACCCTGCCTACCTTGTTTTATTTCCAACTTTTAAACATTTGCATAATATTGATGTGAATCTGGGGCTGCTAGGAGATCATGCTGTGCTTCTGAGAAGATATTGGCAACATTTCCATGGTGATAATAGAACAGAATCAGCTTGAAGACGATCCAGTGGACTGAGATCTCAAAATGACTTAGAAAGAATCAGAAATGGCAATTTTCTCCCACAAGTGTACAATTTTCATCATCTGGGTTATCTTTGTTATGAAATGTTAATATAATGGCAGAGATAAACTTTTTTATATATTTGTCTTTATAGAGTTTTCTCCTCTGGAAAAGCAAAATGTTCTGTGGGAGACTGAAATGGTTCAACAAAAGCCAGCAAAGATATGTGCATTTTGGCTAATCTTATAACTACCAATCCTCAAATTGCTAGAAGAGGACTGCAGCTGCTTTTTACATAATCATGATACGAATCTATTTCTTAGGCATTCAGGCTGATTACCTTGTTTTTTTCTCATCATTTCATTTACTGCATTTTTCTCTTTTTTTTTTTGTATTTTCCCCTTCATTTCATTTTCTGTTTCTTTTATTTACCATTTCCCCAATCCTGTTTTTTGCATTTCTATTCTACCTCAGAAACACATAATATTAGGAAAATGTGCAGCACATATTCCAATATATATTCTCATTTCTGTGAAAAGCATCGGCATGAAAAAGTACAGCACTTGTCACTTTCAGGATTCCTTGGTTCCCAGAGCAAACTGCAGATGTGGGTTAAAAAGATTCCTGAGAACTTTGCTGGCCAAAAGCCATGCAATCAGATAAAATTAAGAAGAAACTACAGGTAGTCCTTGTTTAGTGACTGCCTTGTTTACTGACCTTTCGCAGTTACAATGGTGATGGAAAACTAACTTTGCAACCAATCCTTGCATTTATGACCTTTGCAGGTCTGTAAAGCAAAGGAAAGCTAAAGTAAGATCATAAGCACAGGCATGGTTTCACTTAGCGACCACTTTGCTTAATGACCAAGTTGCCAGTCCCAACGAGGACTACCTGTAGTGTAAATGGGAAGCAATCATGTCACAAGAGATTACTATAGAATCAGAAGAAATTGTTATGGGAGAGAAGAGAATGCCCCCTACTGTGCTTTTAAGAAATGGACAATCTATTAGAAACACTGTAGAATGACAGGAGTTCTAGAGAGATATAGAACTGAGTAGAAGGAGTAGCTGGAGAGGACCTACCTGTAGATATATCCCTGTGGGTATGAACATTCACACCCAAGAGTTGGTTACATAGTTGATTGGATATGGTGCTATCAGTGAATATGTAGATAAGTTAAGATTGGCCCTGACCCTGCAGGCCTTTCTCACAGCACTAGAGACCTCCTTTGAATGTCAACAGGAGGGTGGCATCCTTACCTTTGTGGGGGAGGGAGGCTATTCCACAAGTCTGGGGAAGAAACAGAATAGGCACATTTCCTGGCCCCACCCTTTTAGCTTCACTGGGGGCCTTGCTGACTCAAATGTGTAGAATGGGCAGATTCTCCCAGGAGCAAGTAATCAGGAGCACCAAAGGGTTTATAACCAGCACTAAATATCATTCTGTGCCTTAGTGAACTTGGAAATATGCCTTGCATTTACTATTGTTGGCTGTTGAAAATTAGACCAAAATAAATCCACTTTCCACCTCCATCATCTACAAACATGGAAGACAATTCAGTGTTGTTATATCTACTTTGGATTAAACTATTACTCCTTCCTACCTGTTTGTACTCAGACTCTCTTCCAACTAGGACCTGCAGGATGTAGTTCACAGGGTCTCCCTTCATGGGTGGTGCTGTTTCCCAAGCAATTTCACAGGTGTTTCCTTCTAACTGTCTCACTCGAGGTGCTATAAAAAAAAAAAAATGACCACGTATTAATTGGCACATGCAGAAGGAAGACACACCTCTCATTTTTATTATTTCAAATACTGAATTTAATTCATTTTAAAAATTCAGAATTATGGCCAGGAATGTTATCACTGACAGATAAGATGCAGCTAATGTGATGGAAACTAATTTTTCCAAACATGAAGAATCAATGCTTCATGGAAGATATGCAATGCTTTTATTATCTGGGAAATGAAATAAAACGAGTACAGTGAAAATCATTTAATTTTTCAGTCTATACTTATGGAGTACATGAATATTTGTAAACAAAAATGACAGAAAGAAATCCAGAGACACCAGAAATGTATTTTTTAACAAGTTGTTTTTTAAAATATATTTTATTTCAATAGTGCTCTTCGTCCCAGAGAAGCCCATACTATTTACAAAAGAAGTTTGTGTGTGTATGTTGTCTTAAATCAATACAACGAAACTAAAAATGCTTTAAAGTTTTAAATGCAAAAGTTCATTCTGAAAAAATAGGAAAGCAAAATAAATAAAAGGCCAACTTAAAGGCAATCTGGTGTTTGAGTAGAAGTTCTCTCATAAATGTTTCTATCATTATACATTTCTTCAATTGGTTTTTCAAACAAGACATCATAGTTTATGTGCCTATGGTTTCAGTTTCCTAAGAAACTTTATATTTGTCTTGGTTAAATTTAATTCTGTTATTTATTTATTTATTTTATTTATTAAATCGATTTATATAGCCGCCCATCTCACCACAGGCGACTCTGGGTGGCAAAAACCAAAGCTAAAAACAGTAAAATACATTAAAAATATATAAAACAAAATAAAACAAAGAATAAAAGGAAGTTAAAAATAAGGGAGCCACCTCACTAATTCCCCCATCTCCTGGAATCCCATTTCTCTATTTCATCTCATTTCTCTATTCCATCAAGATCTTTTGAATATTATTTTGGTCTTCCAGACTTTTAGTTATCCCACCCAGCTGTGTGTCAATTGCAAACCTGATAAACATTTCTTCCAGCTTTTCATTGAAGTCATTACCAAAAGAGTAAAAAGCATGGAACTGAATCTCGTGGAACTCCACTTCATTGATTAGCATTCTTTGAGTATGATTTTTGAATCCGCTATATATCCACTAGATTTCTTATCATAATGTCACAGGGCACTCTGTCCAATTTCTATGAAACCACTGGAGTGTGTCATCTGGAATTTTGAAATGTGATGTCAAGTCATCGGTATCCAACTCGAATGCTCCAAAGAAGCAATTGGTTCTCTTGAACATTGCCCATGTGTGATACTGGGCTGGGTGACAAAGAATAAGCTGCAGTTAAACCCAGAAGAAAACAGAAGTCCTATGGATGAATAGGAAATGGGACTTGGGGATTGATTATCAGCCTATTTTGCATATAGTTGCACTCCCCCTGAAAAAGTAGAATTGCAGTTTGGGAGTACTCCTTGATCCTCCTTTGCCACTGCATTCATAGGTACTGGTTGTGCTGAGGAATGAATTTGAACAAATTCAATGCCAGCTATGATCCTTGAGATTTGGCAATAGTTCCCCAAACTTTGATTACATCCTTGACAGTTACAGTGTGTTCCATTGTGGAGGTTACCTTTGATAACAGTTCAGCTGCTACATTAATAACCATTTCAAGATAAAGAGATCATATGCTTGCACTGAAAGATCTCCACTGGTGTCAGTTGCTCACTAGGCACAATTTAAAGGGTAGCCCTATATAGCTTACGGTTTGGTTATCTTAAGGACTGCCTTTCCCATTATGAACCTATCTGGTTGTTTAGATCTGCAGAAAAGCTCTTTTGAAGATGGCCCTACTCTCAAAGGCCATCTTTCTGGTATGCAGGAGAGGGCCTTCTCCTGCACAGCTCTCAAGCTTTGAAGTATAATACTTTGGAAGCTGGGTTTGGCTCCCACTATCTCAGCATTTAGAGAAAAAGATAAAGATATTTCGCTTTTACCAAGTTTTTAATAGTTAAACAGTTTTACAATCAAAACTTTTCATTTTAACTGCATTTTTAAGTTCTGTTAGCTACCTTGAATAAACATTGGACCAGAAAGGCAGGAATTGAACAAATGAATGCTTTGCTGAAATCAAGATATATTACATTTACAGCATTCTCATGATCTACCAAGGAAGCTATCCAGTCAAAAAAGTGGGACAAAATAAGTCTGGTATGACTTGTTCCTATTGCATTGTTTTCAAGTGGCTCACAGAACCTTCTCTTTATGATCTGTTGTAGACCTTCTCAGGGAACAATGCCAGTCTAACCTGTCTATAAATTCCCTGGACTCTTCCACTTTCTTACGATGGGGACATTTTCCCTCCTTCAGTCATCTGGCATTTCACCTGTTTTTCAAGATTTCTTCAAGATCCTATATAAAATTTTGGCCAGAGCACCAGTAATTTCAATACCCTCAGATGCAATGCATCTAGTCCTGGATATTTAAATTAACTCAAAGTAAATAGCATTCCCTAGCTATGTTTCTTTCTATTTCAAGCTTCAATTCTGCTAATTCATTCTGCTTTCCTTAATTGTCTAATATGACTATCCTGTCTTCTTTTTGGAACAGATTAAGTCAAAATAGCAGTTCAGTAGTTCTGCCTTTTTCTTGTTAGTATATTGCCACATTCAGTGGGCAGCTGATATAATGAATCTTATTTCTTCCTATTATTTAAGAAGCCCTTTCAGTCGTTCTGGATAATCTCAGTTCATTCTAAACTTCAGCTTTCCTGACATCACCTCTATATTCCTGAGATACCTATCTGCACTCTTCCAGATAGGTACTTTTTCAGATGATCACTGTCCTCTTCATTTGTCCTTTTTTGTTTTCAGAATTTTATTAAGCTTAAGTTGTACTCTATTTTAACCCCCACTCTGCTG